GCAGTTCTACTAAGTTTAGATTTAGGAGGTATTTGTTAGTGTAGAACATGGCATGGTTCAGTCATTGGTTGCATGAAAAAGTTCTGTGTTCACCAGCATCCTTCTCTCAACCAATGCTAACATTGATTAGCATGGATATATCCAAGCAGTTTGGAGATTTAACTTCTAAAATACTTGTATAATGTATTTGCAACTTAATATTCAGGCAGCTTTTGATGCAAGACCCTAATTAGCTAATACTTGTCATTATTAAGCTTTTAATAGTACCCTAAAGATGATTAAGTCAATTTTGATATTACTAGGAAGTCTCTGTATTGTTAGGCTGAAAGTACCTAACAGGTTCTTTAAGGTCTGATCAAAATTATTGCAAGAAGACATATGCGCTTCAATATAAAGCAATTTTATTAGCTTAATCATTTTAGATATATGCAAACTACAAACTAATGAGTAAATCTACTAAATTAAAGAACTTTACACACATTTAACAAGTGAGCCTCACTACACTGCCCTAACACTGGGGACTACTGGGTGATGGCTAGCATTGGAGCTCCATCTCCTTTCCCATGGCCCCGGTGTCATGTCCCCCCAAATCCCATGGTGGAAGTCCCCATTGTGAAAGGTCCTTTGAGTAGGAAAAGTACTCAGTATTAATATTGGTCTGAATTTGATGTCATGTGCTGTAATACCATTCCTCAGTACTTTCTCAAGCATTTCTCTGTGCTTGGTGGTCACAAACAAATCCAGCCTGTTCCTTATCTGAGGGCAAGATCATTGCCAACCAAAGCAGTCTGCTTTCCACTAGGCCTAGTTTTCATGAATTTCTCTTTAATTGCTTATGTCCAATTAAACCTTAACAATTAACCTTTAAAAATCTGGTTTGGAGATATCATTTTTGATCCTAACACTACAGTCTATTGTGGCAATATTAATGAATTGCCTGCCTCCTCAATTATTATTTCTGGTATTTACCAAATATTGAACTCTTGCCATTTGTTTCAATCCTTCTGAAGACTGTCAACTTTTAAAAAGAAACTCAAATATCCAGTTAATAGCTGAAAGAATGACATGATAACATTTTGCATTTTAAGGTATTTTCTTAACAAAAGATTAAAAACACTATTAAATAAACACTGTCTTCGCAGACAACTTGTATTTTGAACCTCTTTTTCTTAGACAATTTCTTGGGGTCAAGGATGACTTCTTCCACTCTGGTTAGGTGGCTTTTGAAATCGCTGTAAAATCCAATGTGCAGTTGGCACTCTCTGCCATTCTGGTAGTACTGGAAGGTTTGGGTAGTAGTTGTTTTTTTGGAGGTTAGTGCACTTCCTCCATTGCCTCAACTTTACCTCTGCACATTCCGGACAAAGTCTCTCGGTATATTTAGTGCCTTCTTGAATGAGCCTTCTCTGTTTTGGTTGGTCTCAAGCAAGGGTCACTTGTGATTCAGCGGGTATGTTTCACCTCTGCAATAATGGCTGGAAATTATGACATTGTACTAATGTCAATGGATATTATAGAATCTACATTCCCTCTAATTTTGTTTTCTTCTGTGCAGACCTCCAAGGTCCATGTACAACTATAACTTTTGAATCTTCTGCAAGTCCATGATGTTGGTCTGCTGATTGACTTACTTGGACCCTCAGAACATCTATGCAGCTTAGAGGGAAGGTTGCTAGTAATCTAGAGGCCCAGACTAATCCTCTGATCAGATGGGTTTGAATTCCGCTGTGGCATCTGGTGGAACTTAAATTTAGTTAACAAAATCTGGAGTATAAACTTAATCTCAGTAGCATTGACCATCACAAGTGTCATTGATTTTTGTAAAAACCTATTTGGTTGCCCAATATCCTTTAGGGAAGGAAATTTGCTATCTGGCCTACATGTCACTCCAGACCCATAGAAATGTGATTGTATCTTAACTACCCTCTGAGATGAGTTAAAGGCCAGTTAGAGATGGGCAACAAATGCTAGCCTCCAGTAATGACCATATTCATAAAAAAATTAAAATAGGGCAACCCAAAAGTATTTCTGCTTTCCCTCTGTGAGTCTCCTACTGCGTTCAAGCTCTGAGTAGAGCAGTTGCTGTGTCCAGCCCATGAACGACATCTCCCTCCCACTAGTGGAGCAATGGTGATTTCTGCGCTGCATTATGATTTGGACAGTTGGGCAACCTATGCAAGAATTTCAAGCCACAGAACGGAATACCCTGTCTTCTTGTTTTTGGCACACCAAAGAAACACCTTTCACACTTATGCAGTAGACTGTTCTTTAAGAGGCATTCAATCCTTCCAGAATCTTCCAACTTCATTTCAACTGACAACAAATTTGTTTTTTTTTTCAATTGTGAATGAGCTTCCACTCTCATTCCAGCCATAGAGACTTTTGACCCTTAGCTCTGTCTTTTCCAGATATTCGGTGATGTCTTGGGAAGCCTGTAACTCAATATTACAATGGCTTCTTCTATACCCTTCCTATCTCATAGCCCATCATTACAGCCTTGCATTCAGCTCAAGGTGCTGAACAGTTGTCCTCAAGAGCCCAACTCTCTTTCATCTTAAAACTAAATGAATGGTTTAAATCACAACTGTTTAAAATCTCCACCCCACCTCTTCCTCCGTTACATTGATTATTGTATCGGTGCTGCCTCGTGCTCCCACGAGGAGCTCAAACAGTTCATCCACTTCACCAACACCTTCCACCCCAACCTTAAGTTCACCTGGACCATCTCCAATACCTCTCTCTCCTTCCTGGACCTCTCTGTCTCCATCTCTGGCAACCAACTAGAAACCGATATTCATTTCAAGCCCACCGACTCCCACAGCTACCTAGAATACACCTCCTCCCACCTACCTTCCTACAAAAATGCTATCCCCTATTCCCAATTCGCCTCCGCCGCATCTGCTCCCAGGATGAGGCATTCCACTCCCGTACATCTCAGATGTCCTCATTTTTCATGGACTGCAACTTCCCCCCCTCAGTGGTCGAGAACGCCCTCGACCGTGTCTCCCGCATATCCAGCAACTCATCCCTCACACCCCCTCCCCGCAAAAACAACCAAAACAGAATCCCCCTCATCCTCACGTACCACCCCACCAACCTCCGGATCCAACGCATCATCCTCCGACACTTCCACCATCTGCAATCCGACCCCACCACCAAAGACATTTTTTCCTCCCCACCCTTATCTGCTTTCCGGAGGGACCACTCTCTCCGGGACTCCCTTGTCCGCTCCACACTCCCCTCCAGCCCCACCGCACCCGGCACTTTTCCCTGCAACCGCAGGAAGTGCTACACCTGCCCCCATACCTCCTCCCTCACCCCCATCCCAGGCCCCAAGAAGACTTTCCACATCAAGCAGATGTTCACCTGCACATCTGCTAATGTGGTATACTGCATCCGCTGTTCCCGTTGTGGCCTCCTCTACATCGGGGAAACCAAGCGGAGGCTTGGGGACCGCTTTGCAGAACACCTATGCTCAGTTTGCACTAAACAACTGCACCTCCCAGTCACGAACCATTTCAACTTCCCCTCCCATTCCTCAGACGACATGTCCATCCTGGGCCTCCTGCAGTGCCACAACGATGCTACCCAAAGGTTACAGGAACAGCCACTCATATTCCGCTTGGGAACCCTGCAGCCCAATGGTATCAATGTGGACTTGACAAGCTTCAAAATCTCCCCTCCCCCTACCGCATCCCAAAACCAGCCCAGCTTGCCCCGCCTCCCTAACCTGTCCTTCCTCCCACCTATCCCCTCCTCCCACCCCAAGTCCCACCCCCATCTCCTACCTACTAATCTCATCCCGCCCCCTTGGCCTGTCTGACCTCCCTGGACTGACCTATCTCCTCCCTACCTTCCCACCTACATTCACCTCTACTGGCTCCATCCCCGCCTCTTTGACCTGTCTGTCTCCTCTCCACCTATCTTCTCCTCTATCCATCTTCTATCTGCCTCCCACTCTCTCCCTATTTATTTCAGAACCCCCTTCCCCTCCCCCATTTCTGAAGAAGGGTCTAGGCCCGAAACGTCAGCCTTCCTGCTACTCTGATGCTGCACGGCCTGCTGTGTTCATCCAGCTCTACACCTTGTTATCTCAGATTCTCCAGCATCTGCAGTTCCTGCTATCTCTGTTTAAAATCTGACATTGTCAACACTTTCCTGGGCCTTGGAGATTCATAGTATGTCCAGCACATCATTCCTGCATTTACCATTGTCTGCAAGTGTGAATACCCTGGCATCTTTTTCACAGTCAAACAATGCAGGCCTTCCTTTCATTTTTGCAGCCTCATCACCCTGTTGTCAGGCAAATGTCAGCACAAGTCAAATGATCCCCTTCATTTTCCCCCAAATTTAAAGAAACTGACTGAAACATTTTAAACGTATTAAACTTGAGCAGAATCTTGTGCCTTACCATAATTTTGATGGATGCAGAGGACACCTACACAGGCAGGAGGGTTGACTCACTTTGGCCTTGATCCTAGGCCTCGAGTGTTTGTAGTATTGGTAGGAGCTGCTGCTTCCCCAATATCTCTGCTGTGTACAGAAGAGTTGCTGGCCTTTGGCTGTTAGATCTCACTAATGGGACTTCCATCCCAGGAAAATATCCTGTCACTAGCTTGTTAAGCACTTTAGTGGCCCAAATTAATCCAGACCTTCCTAAAGATTGTCACTGTGAGGTTCTGGACAAATATGAACAAGGTGTTCTTTTAGGGCTGCTTCAACAACCTTAACCAATCAGATTGTCAAAAAACTTTTACCTTCAAGTAATTTGTACAATGAATCAGTTCAAAAAAGTTTACCAGTAATTCTTCTGTGTATTTGACCATCCACAGATGGAATACCATTAGGGATTTTGCACTAGACACTAGTTCTATATTTGAAAAAGGTAACTGAGCAGTGGATTACACATACACTGAATTTTGCTTGCAGGAATTAAAATAATTTCAAATAAATATTTTTGTATGACAGTTATTAATAATCACCTATTTCTTCCTGAACAGAATGATAAAGGACAGATGCCTGTCGATATTGTTCCTGACCCCTTGGATATGCCGCTCGAGATGGCTGAGGCAGCAGCAGTTGCCAAAGAACTGAAACAGATGCTTCTGGATGCAATACCGCTGACATGCGACATATCAAAAGCCATGTTGACAAACTATGATCACATCTCAGGCAAGGCACTACTGATGTCGCTGGGCCTAAAGCTGGGAGAGAGAGTGATGATTGCAGGGCAAAAGGTAAATAATGAATAAGTATGAGGACAGATTAATGCATTCATGGACCCAGTGTGCTTGCAGTAGCATAAGCAGTATTTTTGCTGCAATATGTGTGCTTTTGTATAACATTTGTCAATGTAGTGCAATCTGTAAGGTTTTTCTGCCATATTAATCTTGTCTGTCAGTCTGTGTTTGTCTGTCTGTGAACCTGATAACCACTGTAATATCAGTACCTGAATAAAGGTGTGAAGTCAATAGATATAAAAATCAGGCATGAACTTTGGACAGTATTGTTAAAAGAATTAATCAATTTGTATCCTAAAATGCGAATTAAAATGCAAAGACTTGAGATCATCATAGTATCCAAATTCGAATAATAAATAAAAAATTGTGATCAAAACAAAACTTTCTGTAGCAAAATGTTTTATTCAAGCCAGTAGCTTTTTATCACAACTCTTACAATGCTATATCATTTCTCCATGGTCATTGTTGCAGTTTTTAATTTCAAAATGTTCAAAAATTATTTAATACATAAGTAGTTTGAATATTGTTGGTTTTCACTTGACAACAAGTAGGTCAGTTTGGTATATATCACTATATAAAATATGTGTTCGCTTGATCCCTGTACGCAGTTATTGAGAAGGTGCTATTATCGTGCACAATTAATTGCATGTTCTCAACTTGCTCCTTGCAGTAAGCCACACCATGGTCTTGTTCCCCCTACTCCTCTAGCACTGATACTTCTTCAGTAACCTCCTCTTCTTCCATCTTTTTCAATTTGTTTATTCTCTAAAAATGTCTTATTGATGAGGCCTACCCTCTGCTCCATGGATCCCATTCCAAATAAACTGCTGACTACTAAACTTCTATTTTGGACCTCCACACTAGCTGATGTAGTTTATTGTTCATTCTCCTGAGATAGTTCCCTGGTCTTTCAAAGCTGCTGTTGTCATATTCCTTTAAAAAACCTGAACCTTTATCCCTCTGTTCTGTAAACTCCCTGCCAATTGTGAACTTGCCTCTTTAATCCAAGTCTGAGTTTGTATTTTGTGTACTTCCCTCTTTGTATCTTCCAGTCAGATTTCTGTACCTGCCACAGTACCAAAATAACTGGAACCAAATCACAATTTACATTTGCCTGACTGAACATAATAATTTAATTCTCTCCTGCTCTATCACTCTGTAACTTCTGTCATAGTTGATCTAATCATTGTGCTCCAGCGCCTCTAATCCGTTACCTTTATTTAGTGGAAGCAAAATAATTGTGGATGCTGGAAACCTGAAAAAAGAGAAAAAACTGCAGGAACTCAGCAGTTCTGGCAGCATCTGTGAAGAGAGAAATAGAACAGTTATGAAGAAGAGTCATATTGGACTTGAAAACGTTAATTCTATTTTTCTGTCTCCACAGATGCTGCTAGATCTGCTGAGTTTTTCCAGCATGTTCTGCATTTGTACCTAATTTAGTTTGTCTATCTTTAATTGGTTACATTTTTACCTACTCGTTTGCGATCAGAGCATCTCCATCAATCGATTCTCTTTCTTTTACTGTGCCATTCATTCAAACCCTTGAAGTTCTTACTTTGGCCTTCTCCATCATGCTGCCTGATATTTTATGCACAGGGCCATCTTCCACATGTGTACTCATGACGTATACTTCTATGACTTACCAACTCTCAATTCCTACACTGCTAATGTTATAGAACTGTATAACATGCAGTCTTAAGTAAGCCAGTTTTCTCTATTTTAACAGCCAGTCTCAAGTGAATCAGATAGTTTCAAACTGGAGTTCTCTACAAATCTGAGCTCTATTTTCAACCCCGTATCGTAAAGCTTGCCAATTTCTACTTCCATTACATTATCTGTCTCTAGTCCATATCAGCCCTACAACATTTGAAGCTCCCATCTATCCCTTTGTCAAATTTAAAGTCATCTATATCAATGACCTCATGGCTGACCTTTCATCCTCCAATCTCTAAAAGTTACAATTCATTCAAAATTCTGCTGACCATATCCTATATCTCACCAAATCCTGCTCATGTATCACCTTATTTATTTGAGCTGACCTACATTTTATTCTAGTTTTCAGAGCCTCAGGTTTAAAATGGTCATTCTGTGTTTACATCCTTTGATAGAGTGCACCTCTCTATATAAATTCCCCAGCCCAAATATCCTGTTAAACCTGCCGCTCCTCTAAATCCAACCTCCACCAAAATCCCCTTCATTTCCTGATAATCTCTTGAGCCACAATTAAACTCAGAGAACAAAGTCTAAAATTTGTCCTATGTGTTCTGTATCTGCATTTTTTATTCACATGGGGCGTCACTGGCTGGCCAGCTAATCCCTTGAATCACTTCTTGAATATGCTATTTTTTTTTTGAAAAGTGCTTCAAACTCAACTTTTTGACTTAGATCATCCTTCCTAATATATTCTTCTTTAACGTGTTATCCATTTTTATCCACATCTGTTTGAGCACAGTGAAGATTTTGTGTGCTAAAGGTGCTATATAGCTGCAGGTTGTTTTTGTTGTTTATAATTGTTTCTTTAAATAATATGCTCCGAAAAATACATGACCAAGAAGTTTGTGAAATCATTATGGCCATATATTACTATTTGGACATAACTAGATACTGTGCAGTTCTCACACAGATCCAAACAAGATAGAATTTGCTGTAAGGCAAAAACTTCCTTTAAAACAAAGTGCTGTTGATTTTAAATACTTTTTTTTAAAAAAGTAATCATCTCATTGCAATCACATTTCAGTCAGTTTTATGTTGTGGAAGAATCACAGATTTTTAGGAAGAGGAAACGTGACTTAAAATTCATTAACTTTTTTTAAGTGTTGAATGCCTACTGTTAGACAAAAAGTCTGGTTCACTGATGTCCTTTAGAAGGAAATCTGCCATCCATGCCTGGTCTGGCATATATGTAACACTGGCTATATTAGAAATATGGTTGAAATGGCCTAGAAAGCAAATCAGTTGATGGGCAACAAATGCTGGCCTTACCAGTGTGCCTACAAGCATAAAAGAAACTGAGTTGAGTTAGCTGGGCAATTCCGTCAGAGTGTATTATGATGGGGATTCCCAGGGTCCCCAAGTGCAACTTCTAGCTATACTCACAAAATGACTGTCTGACCAGTAGATAATCAGTGAAAAGTAAGAATGTTTGGAACTGCAGAAGATAAATAATAAATTTTGTGCTTAACATCTATCCCTCCTACGTATGAAGACTGTTCACAAAGATTAGAATACAGTTCCACAAATATCGGCTGCTCTTGATCTTGAATCAAACCCATGTTTTGAGAAATGGTGATGTAGTGGTAATTCGGCCGTACTAATAATCTAGAGTCCCACGTTAGTACTTGGGCGGTGTTGGTTCAGATCTTGTCAGTGTAGTTGATGGAGTTTAAATTCAATTAATAAAAATCGTCTGGAATTGAATGCTAGTCTCAGTAATAGTGACCGTGAAAATATTATTGGTTGTTGTAAAAATCCATTCGGTTCTCTAATGCCGTCTAGGGAAAGAAATCTGCTAAACTTAACCAGTCTGGTTACATGTGATTCCAGACCCACAGCAATGTGGTTGACTCTTAAAGGCTTTATGAAATGGTTTAACTACTCATTTCAAGGGCAAGTGGGATGGGCAACAAACACTGTCCTAGCCAGTGACCCTCACATCTCATGAACAAATAAATAAAAAGGACGGGGCATATTTTCCACTGGCCAGTATGTTGCAGGTGTAGATAGGAGTTTCACATGGGACCCTACGGACTCCCCATCATAATGCACACCAAATTGAATTTTCCTCTGGGTAGTTCCATTATGCCTGGAACCCCCTGCAAGTCTCTATAAAAATCAGAGACTCCTGATGGTTCCGATGAAATTAAGCAAAGTAGTCACTCAGGAAAAATTGGACTATTAAATACATGGTCTAACTACTGAGAAAGTGTTAAACAGATCTCATACCTGGCTGACTCAGAACCCCCTCACCTGACACACCCTCTAGAACTATTCCCAAACTCACTATAAAACCTGACCCAATGTTCACATACCCAGTGATTTTTAATTTTTGGAAAATATTTAAATTTGAGGATAAGACATCAAAGCCTGATTTTTTTTTTCGTCATGTATGCTTTTCGGTTTGGTTCACATTGCAATGTTAAAAACTTGTCAGTTCACTACTCCTTATTATCATACCCATGTCCTTTCAACTCATGAAGTCCTGATGAAGAGAGTAAACCGGAGACGTCAACTTTCCTGCTCCTCTGATGCTGCCTGACCTGTTCTGTTCCTCCAGCTCCAAACTGTATTAATTCTACCAAATCATTTCAGTTTCTTTTATGCTTGTATAGAGTGTGGTCACACTGGTAAGGCCAGCATTTGTTGCCCATCAATTGATTTGCCCTCTAGGCTATTTCAACCGCATTGCTAATGGTGCTAGTGTAACATATAGGCCAGACCAGGGATGAATGGCAAATTTCCTTCAAAAAGACATTAGTGAACCAAGTTTAATTTTTTTTTTAAATGGCATCATGCTCATTACAGACATGGTGAGCCGAAGGGCCTGTTTCTGTGCTGTACTGTTCTATGTAACAGTAGGCAGTCATTAGGTTTTTAATTCCAGATTTTTAATTGAGTTCAAATTTCACCATCTGCCGTAGTGGGTTTTGAACCCTTGTCTGCAGAAGGTGATATCATTGACTTGAGATTTTTATGATCCACAGAAACAACAGATAGCCAGAAGCCACAATTAGAATTATGCAGGTTGATGTGTAATTCTGCTGGGACACACAGATACGTATGGCCATACAGCATGGAAAACGCCCCTTTGGCTCAACTCATCCATGCTGACCAAGTTTATTAAACTGAACCAGTCCCATTTACCTACGGTTGGCCCATATCCCTCTAATTTTTTCTTATTCATGTTCATGTCGAAATGTCTTTTAAATGTTGTAATTGTACCCACCTCTACCAGTTCCTCTGGCAGCTCATTCCATATACATACCACCCTCTGTGTAAAA